CTACATACCATCCCTATAACGTCTGAATCACCATGGCATCCATGGTCGACACTAGTTGGTTTGGCCCTCTGTACGGGTTCCATTCCACCTAAAAATGCATAATATGTGCAAATTGACTTAAGCAAATACTGATCAGTCCTCCACGAACAATGTAAAAATTTATGAAATCACATTACTGACCTTCATCTTTGTCCTCTCTACACAGTAGTCGTGTGGCATGTGACTGTCCATGGCACCCAATCTCAGCACTTTCCCCTCTCTGCCTTTGTGTAGATGTCATTCCCCCTGAACATGTGTAAAAAATACAGATGACAATCAAATTGAAAAACATGTAAAAAAAGAATAAGGAAGTAAAAAACATTCAGTAAGTCTGTTATACCTTGCACTTAAGATAACTATTACAGCACATGATAATTGGATATCATAATAACAAAAACAACATATATGACAATATGCAACACCATTTCATATTGTGATTACCATTTAATTAACAACATTTACAATCCTTAACGAAAACTAGGGTATTACACAACAAAGATATCCACGGTGGGATATGGTTAAGTGCTAACACAATGCACTAACACACATAATCAAAAAGTACACAACATCCACGGTTTATACAATGCAGATACTACACCATGGTATTTCATAGTAAAAAATACGCCATACCCATGCAACTGACAGACTTCTACTGAGGCTACACATTCATCTAAATAAACACATCAATGCACAAAAAAGTTAAATGCTATCATAAATATATTACTGATCATCAAATACTGGATGATACACATTACTTGTGAGCTGCTTCCTCACAAACTCCCGCCTAAAATGAATCGGTAACGTGAAGAAGAACTCAATTTTGTGAGGTTCCTTGCATATCACCTCCCATGCCTCCAACAGCTCACCAACTGTGAACCCATCCAACTCAGTTATTGCATTGAACAATGAATTCCTCCTATCCTTCTCTTCAGACTCTCTTTTGAAAAACGATGCAATGTCTTTAATTTTTTCGCGGGTTCCTTCAAATGCTTTGCTAAACCTGCCCATTTGATCCATGAAGTCAGAAAAACCTTCATCCCTAACCTTCCTTTTGCCGCTACTGACAGCCTTCCTACTAGGGCCACCTGTGGCTGTCTGACATGTAGAACTAGCCATCTCTTCCTTCACGGGAATAGTGTTTTGGCCCTCCACCTCAAGATCGACATCGACGTCCATATCTGTCTCATTAATCCCCTCCTACTATGTCTCAAAAGCCTCCACCGCATCAGCAAGGGTCTCTGCAACCCCTTCGATTGCTCGATCTCTACCAAACACTATAACTAACGAGTCATAGTGGGGGAATGGTCTGTATCGCAGGCCTTTCGCAGTAGAATGACTCTACACAAAAAATAAAAATACATAAATAAATAAAAAGACAGAGAAATGAAAGTTTTAAAAAAATTAAACATGTAAACAATTTCATCAATAAAAAGCACTTACTTTAACCCATTCATCAAATACATCTTTGGTTGCGGTAACACACTTCTCCCCATCATTCCATCCGAATCCACTGCCATTTTCTATCATCTCATTGATCGCATGGTACTGGCACTTCAGTAACTTATACCTCGAATCAATGTGAGGAATTGCCTTAAGGCCATGTCCAAGAAGCCTCTCCTTCAGCATTTTTTCCAGTTGGGACAGAAACCCAACTTTAAATGTCCCATTATCTGTACCCCATTGATTGCTTTGCTTCAGTATTACAAGACAGTCAACTAGCTGAGCATCTTCATCCTTCGTCCACTGTCTTTTGGTCGTGGTACTGTTGGCTTTACCTTTTCCTTTTCTGTTGATGTTTGGTACATCCAAACTCAAACTCTTTTGGCCATTTTCATTTTTCGGATCTGAGTTGTCCATTCTGTAAAGAAACTTCAGTAGCATATTAGACAAAAACACAGCAAAGTAGCCCTGAATTTTAAATGATTTATACTATAAGAAATGGAACAAAATAATAGAGAAATTGTAAAAGCTGTTGCACTGACAAAATATATGCACGCCACAAAATGAAAGATAATAACTAAACAACTCCAATTTAACATACAACAAAGCATCAACAACTAAAACATAACAGAAGAGAAAAACCAGTGCTACAAGTGTTTACGGTACAGTCACAACAGAAACAAAGTAAACCGATCAAATTGTTTGCAATAGAAGACATCAACACGGACATACACATTCAATAGACAAACCCTAATAACATGACACTACATATTTCGCGAAGACATCCAACTGTTGAACATTTCTTGAGCTAAATTAACTCTCCACGCAATCCACGCGACACTCGTCTCCACATGCCTTATAACTTCATCACTGTCCTCCTCGTAGTCCTAGACATTGCACACTTCACTGACCTCACTCTCGATTGGGTCCGTTGGCAGTTCATTTCTAATGAAGTTATGTAATAGGCAGCATGCCGAAATAATGCGACATTGGGTTCTCACCAGGTAGAAGGATGTTTCTCGCAAAATACCCTATCTTTTCTTTAGTATACCGAAACACCTCTCAATACAATTTCTTGCTTGAGAGTATTTCATGCTGAAATATTCTTGCGGTGTCACTGGTTGACGACCTTGCCTCTACTCATTCAAATGATATCATTGCCCTCTATATGGGGCCAGAAGCCCTTCCCCATTTGTGTATCCAACATCACATAAGTAATAAAACCCTACCATGAAATTAAACATGTTAGAATAAAAAAAAATCATTGACTATATTACAGTATATAGCTGTAGAAAATAGAAATTGATCAAAGATTTATCTTGTGGGACCTTTAACCCATGTCTCCTATTGATGGCATCCCTGAGCACCCTACCATCTGCAGCTGAACCTTCCCACCCCGGGAGGACATAAATAAATTGCATGTCTGGTGTGCAAACACCAAGTACATTCGTTGCAATTTCATTCTTTCAAGTGGGATACCTGGGTTTGTCAACTGAATCCACATGAACCCGTATATATGTTCCATCTAAAGCACCCAAACAATTCTAACAGGACAGCAAAAATAGGGAAACATTAATTTCAGGATAATGTCATAAGCAAACAAATATGAACAACAAAAACCGAATGGGTACAATGTGTACGGTGAACCATTTCCATCTGTCATCAGTTAAATTCTCCAAGATAGGATCTGGTTTTTTTAGCAGAATTCTATGCAGTCTCAACACAGCTTGCAGCACTCTATGGAAATTTCGTGAAACTGTCTCACCAGATCTTTTTGTTTGTCTTTTAAGAACTCTATTCTTCACATGGTGTGCAATTATGTGAAGAAAACTAGCCACCATCTCTTCTACAATTGTATTTCTAGTTGATGCTAACCTGCCAATACTTTTTAGTAAATGACATAACTTGTCAAACGATTTGACATCCATTTTACAATTCTCAAGACACTGTGTATCACTATCAAAAACCATGTTCTGTAAATTGAGTGGCCTAACATTATGTCTATCAATTCACTCAGTCGCATATCTTATAAGATATCTTATAGGATGCCTACCCGTGTAAGTTATAAAACCCCCAGTATTCCTATTCCTATGTAGCATAGCAAGCCTAACAATTAGAAGCATGGCGAACATGCTTTCCATCATGTGCAATTGCAAAAGTAAGATTGTGACCAAACACATCTTCTGCCTTAAAGGTAAACGAGCCATGATTGTTTCACCTATTCCATGTACCAACAAGCATAATATTACTCACAAACACCTATACCATTTCACTTCACAATTCAAAGTACATTAACACCAAAACCCCTACACTAGACAGTCAAGACAAACTGTGGAATGGCAACCACCTAAACCCAAACAACAAAATGTAAAACCCACAGGCTACGAATGCATACAGTTTAGGAAGATACAGCCAGCCATTTCAAACAACACATCACAGAAAAACAACATCCACACAATCACTGCACCACACATGCATACCGCCTTAACAAACCCAAATTCAAACAACACAATTTGAAACAAAACAGGGAAGCATAACCTAGAATTTAAACCAGCGTGCTCCATTCTCTACAGCGACCATATCATATTAAAAACTAGAGACCATCAAACCATGCTCAAACATTGACACTTCAAACCAACATTATCATGCCAACAACAATCCCCTTTTCATTCAAACACAAGATCAATATATTTAGGAGCAGTTCCGTGTATGAATGGACAAAAAAAAATTGACCCTTTTTGTCGAAGTTGTTTGATTACTGAAAATGGCGAATTGAATCACACAAAATACAGTATTACACAACTCACTTAACTCGATTTAAGTGATGGAGATTGACAGAGAAAAATTGCTGCACTTCGGGAATGGAACTGCTCGACGACGAACAAAAATCAATGCATCAGTGTACGATTTAATAAACAGCAACACAAATGTTCGGTGAAAGGAACCAACCTAGTGTGCTTCCCGTCGATTGGAGAAGAAACAGAACCCTAATAGCACCGCTGCTTTTTGTTGTGGAGGAAAAGAAAAAACGATGGTGGATTAGGGTTTAATCCAACTTTTAATATTTATATTGTAGTTTTTTCAAATATCAGGGGCTTTTTTGTCTCTATAAATTGAATATGAAGGGCAGAAAAGTCATCCTAACTCAATGTGGGATACTTGTAATTTAAAGGATATATAAGGGCAAATGTGTCTGGAATGATAAAATATTAAGGGCAAAATAGGGTAAAAATTATGATTACCCTGGTAATCTAACATTAACACCCTCTGGGAAGGTAATCTGATTACCCCCAATATTATCAATAGTAACCACAATTTGTAATAAAATATTACTATAATATTATATTACTTGACAAACAAACTAGAAAATCTTGAAAATTAAACAAAAATTATAGGATTTATCCTATTTTACCCCGAACCAAACGCACCTTTAGAGTTATCGTATTTAAGAAGCAGCCATCTCTGTAGTCTAAAATTGTGATAATAAGAGGAGAGGGAGGGGCTGTTAAGGGAGTGAATTGGGCTGGGCTACGTCGGTGGGCGGCCCATAAGAGTTGAACTTGACCTGATCTTTTGGTACAAAAGCGCTAGGGTTAGCGTAGAAACCTTTCGGAGACAGATTGATTTCAATCGTTGCTACTTTATTTACTCTCCACCTCTTCTTCGCGAAAGGTATCAGATTTTCTCTTTATTTATCCGTTATTCCTTGAACTCTTTTTTTTTTTTTTTTAATCGAATAAATTCCCTTATTTTTCAGTTATTATTGGGATTACGTTGTTTTACGATCTCATTAAGTTTAACAATTTTTAGCTCTGAATTTCGATCTCTCTCTGATTGCCTTTTAACTCGGTATGTTAATTGAAACTGGTATCCTTGATTTTTTTTTTTTTTTTTTTTTAATACTTGTTTGTTTTGTATATTTTGTGATTAGAATAAATATTATTGAATTCTGTGTTTGATCGTATTTTCTTCAATTTAATTAGTAACGTTACTGAATTCATAGATCCCACATTTTTTTTTTTCTGCTAAACTTGTTTGAAACTTTGTTTTACAAATTTTTGGTCCTTCTGAATTTTCCCAAAATATTTAAGTGGATCCAATTTTTTATGCTAAATTTTTAGAAACTTTGTTCTTCAAATTTCCCTTTTTTCATTTTTCCAAATTTATATGAAGCTCACGTTTTGGTGATAAATTTGTTAAACTTTGTTTGACAAATTTCTGGTTCTTTTGAATTTGCCAAAAAATTTATTGAAACTTTAATTCTGATTCTAAATTTGTTCGAAACTTTGCTTTACAAAGTTTTGGTTATATTTATTCTTCCCAAAATCTTGATGAAACTTAATTGCTGATTTGATATGTATATCCGGGTAATAATTGATTTATATGTTTAATTTATTTGCTTATGTTTTGTTTTATTTATTGCAATAACTAACACTGTACTGATAATAGAATCAGAAAACATGCCGAAGAACAAGGGAAAGGGAGGAAAGAACAGGAAGAGGGGAAAGAACGAAGCAGATGATGAGAAGCGTGAGCTTGTGTTCAAGGAAGATGGACAAGAGTATGCCCAAGTTCTTCGCATGCTTGGTAATGGGCGGTGCGAAGCTATGTGCATTGATGGCACCAAACGTCTTTGCCACATCCGTGGTAAGATGCACAAGAAGGTTTGGATTGCAGCTGGTGATATAATACTTGTTGGGCTTCGTGACTATCAAGATGACAAGGCTGATGTCATCCTTAAGTACATGCCTGATGAGGCAAGGCTTCTGAAGGCATATGGTGAGCTTCCAGAGAGCACCCGTCTCAATGAGGGTATTGCTGGTGGTCTTGACGAGGAGGATGAAGGTGCTGGTGATGATTACATTGAGTTTGAAGATGAAGATATTGATAAGATCTAGACTTTATAGAAATTGGCTCTGGTTGGGGTTTATGTTTGATGTTAAAAGATATGCTTGATGTCAATGTACTGGTATTAGAAAGCCAAAAATTATGTGTTTGCACTCTATAAATTTGGATATGCTGAGTTTATTATATTCTGTGTAAGGTATTACCTGCTTATGCTTTTCTTGAGTTCTTTCTTTTCGAAAGCCTACCGTCTGTTATTCATATATTGCATTGGTTCAGGCCTTTTTGCTTTTTGTATTATAAGTTTATGGAGTTAGATACCAGTTTAAAAGCTAGGAGAGGTAGATACCAATTTAAAAACCTAGGAAGGTCCACGGTCTGTTTTTGTTACTTTCTTCTCTATGTATAAACTAAATTGATGAGGATGGGACCATATTTAAAAATCTTAGTCATCGATTTGATATGCTGCCCTAATTTGATTAGGAAGCCACTGCCTAGTACTTGCTTAGTGTTTGTGTGGTTCTTTCCGTTCTCTAGGATCAGTACAACATTGTTTTACCGAGGGAATAGCTTTGGTTGTGTGTGAGCCTATTATTTATTTTGTCCAGCAGTGGCTACATATTGGGCAGCTTCTTGGGATTGCCAAGTGTGGTAAATCTGAATTTTCACGGATCTTTCAAAGACACAAGTTATAGCCGTTGCACTTTTTAATAAAATATTAAATTTCGTGGTTGCAAGTGATTTCCTAAATACAAGGGAAGTTCAGCGTCAAGTGCCAATGTTTTCTGAGATGTGAGGTTATTTGAATGGCTAGGCTTTTCAGCAATGGTGTAACCGATGATTAATGATGGTTTGTGCGCAAAGTTTTGAAATCTGCTTAAGCGGCGGCCGTAACTTACATGGTTATTGCATATCTTGCTAATTTCCAGCAAAATGGGTAGGTAGTCTCTTTACTTCGTTAGGATATATTTCGACTTGGTAAGGGAACAATAACCTCTAGCAAAATGGTTTCTTTGCCCTGCGGGGTTCGCAAAGTTTCAAAGTCGTCTCTTGCAGTATATATATATATCTTGGTTTTTATCAAACAAGATCCATTCCCAGCTTCCTGGTCATTCTAATTGCTTCAGTTAAATAAACTGGATTATTAGCATACCATTACCATATACAAGGGATTTATTATTTCTACAAGCCATACACTCATGAATAAATTCTAGGTAGAAGCACGAGACTCATCTTCTCTTGAAAGATAAGAAGGCAACTTGGATTTGCCACTGGCCAGGCTCTTGCATGCGATCTCTAAATGGAAGCATCGTTGCACTTAACTTCTTTCTTATTCCCTGCTTGCTTTTGCTTGTTCTTCTTATCAATAATATCACACTCCTTCGGACTGTCCTTCTTGCTTACCTGTTACAATAAGGAAATCAAATTTGGTAAAGAAGTGGATATGTAACGAAACAAAATAATAGATTTTCAAGGACCGTATTATCGCATTCTTATGTTTCTCTTGTTTTTTCCCTTAATTTTAGTCTACTCAGCTTTCAGCACTCTTCTACTAGCTATGGTGAGGAAGTTTTTACTTTGCTGCACTCTTTCGGGCACTGGTAGCTTGGCACAGTTTTCCTCCTTGACACACTTGTAGCCTTCAGTCTGTTTTTCCTAGGCTTGAAGCCTTCAATCTCTTTAGCTGAATTTACTGAAAAGCTTTCAATTTGAACGGATACCTCATTGGATCCACAACTCTCCTGTTCTTCCCCTGCTACATCGAAAAGTCTTTTTGCCACCATGAACTTTTGATTGTTGTTAAATGGCTCAAGTTGCTTGCTTATAGGATTTTCAACCAGGGAGTTCTCATGAAGACGGGTTGCCATCCATCGTTCTAGCCAGCTCCAACCCATGTTCAGTTCTGTGTCATCAGTTCTGTTTTGCTTCTTCTTCGAACAAATTCTTAGCTATAGATCAAGTGGATAAAGTCAGTTCAGCACTAAAATTGATCTGTTTGTTTTCATTTCATACCCGAGTATCTTAGCTTTACCTGCTGTGAAAAGGCATAAGCTAGAGCTCTCTCGCGCCTGGTTGTTGCTTCTAGCCTATTCTGAATCCTCATTTTGGATACATTGCTACTCACTGTGCTATCATCCCAGTCTTCCTGTCAATTTCGGTGTCATACAACAGAAACAAATAAGGTAAGATTTCACTGATGCTCCAAACTTATGTCACTTCATATATTTATTACTTTCTGAGACTCTATTAAGATTCCCATTTGACCTCAATCTGTAAAATCAGTTTGATCAAGTTTCATTTAAGCTTTTAGCTCTTACAATAACACATAACCTTGCTACTGGTTCCAGGTTAGAGGTTCATATCCTTTTTGTTTTACCTTTATCTTGAAAATCTGAGTTCTGGCTTTTTGGTGCATCCTTTGAGGTAGAGCCATGCTTTCTTCTCGAACTGAGAAAACTTCTACAGAATTTCCTGTTTGAACTTCAATTGACGTTCCCACAGACTCCCTACTTGGGCTATCTGTCACTGCAAGAGGCTCCTGCTTACTGTCTTTTAATTTGTTTTCTTCATCTTGACGTCTAGCCTGAAAATCAAGTACTATAATTACTCTTAAAGAATCACAGTTGCAAAATTTGGAGGGATTCTTTCATAATAAGTATGAAATAGATGTATATAAGCCAGTATGAATTCTTAACCCGGAAGCCTCTAAATGCTGTCTGAATTATGATTGCTGCATCTTCTTTATGGAATAACTTGGAAATTGAGTTATGCTTTTCCTTGGAATCTTCACTGTGAGTTTCTCCCTTGTCCGTGAAGTCTTCTAGTATAGGCTGTGTAACAGTGGCCTCAGAGCTCTTAACCGAAGCGGAGTCTTCCTCTGCTAAGACTGAATTGAACTCATCACCACACAGGTATGATCTAACTGAACTCCATTTTCTTTTTTCCGCCATATTGTTCCTTGCCTGCAGCTTTAGCCAGCATAGTGACAATTAAGAGGAATCACTTCAAACTCCAAAACAGAAACAAAGCGGTTCACTATAGTTTAGTGGGGGAACTGTGTCAAAAGGAAAGATAAAAACTACAAATTATAGCAGAGACCCAAAATCAGCAAGCGAAACGTAGGAGCATGTTCATTCTCAAAGAAATACAAGAACACCAATACTCAACTGTAGAATGGAACGACAATTTTCAGAATTTACACTAGTAATATCAATGTTACCAAAAGAAAATGTGTTTACAAGACTTACGTTATTGCTATCCTGAGTCCCAACAGAGCGATTTCTGGAGAAGACACTTCTAACCAACTCTCCAGTGATACCCATCTCAGTTGTTTTGAAATGAATAGCAAAGCAGAAATTTCATAAGGGTTGTCTCCAATTATAATGAATACCACACAGAGGTACTGAGATTCCCTAAATTATTGCTTATGTTGAAGAAAAGTTGACACTGCAAGTGGCAATTTTCAATCCGTTGTTTTCAGTAGACTAAGCTTCACTGGATTATTCTTTTATAAAGTTAGGTAAACCAACTGGTACATCATGATAAACCAAATGTTAGCTGTAGTTAAGTCAGAAGATCTGCAGGTTTTGCAGAGCTTTAGAGCTGGACTTAGTCCTTTAATCACAAAATAATAGAAACCCAAAAGTAAATAAATATCAGATGAAGCTTTTACACATCACTTTATGCACATGGGTTGCAGCAGATTGGACTCATAAAGTTTGCTTGCTATTGGGGCTATGTCTATTCCTTTAGGCTTACTTGATCAATTTCTGTCCCTTTAAAGTGCCCCTCTTCTTGGTTGCTTGCCACTTTTATTTTCCTAAACATGTCAATATTTTACTTTTGGGACCATTTGGGAAAGCCAAAACAGTAGTAACTATTCGGCTTATTATCGAAGCTTAACCCAGCAATTTAAGTTTTTGAGATCAAAATCAAGTCTATGAATTGTGTGAAACAAAGTCTCATGTATTGTTGTGGTAAAGTGGAAACAAAAGTTGGGAAGGTTTTGATGAGATTGGAGTAGCTTAGATAAGGGGTTTTGATAATGGCACAAGCGATAATGACTTGCTAGATATATGGTTTTGCAGACAATGGATGGGTAACAAGAGCAAGTGAAATTGACGGATCAATATAAGTCAAATGGATAATGACATTCACATAAACAGTAGTGGCCCTAATAATCACCCATGTTTCATTTTCATGGTTAGGTTTTAGAATTGTCAGATTGGTATGAAATGAATGCTAATTATAAATCGTTAAATCAATTAATGCATGCTTAATTAGATCATGTGAAATTAATAGAAGATGATGGGGTTTTAGGCCAATCATATGTAAGGTCTCTGCCCATTATCATTACAAGCTCTCATGCTCTTAGGCTTGGCTAGCTTTCTCTCTTCTCTTTCACTTTGTGCAGCCAGACTGGAAGGTTGAGGTTTATTTTGGATATGTTAAAAATAACAGTTTTGAGATATTTTGCATAGCTACAAGTCAAACTGATCACCAAGAAGTTCGGCGATTATTGTCATGTTCTGAGCAAAAACGTTTCCAGCTTTCTTAGTTTTCTACAAAGTAATGATGTATTATTTCAACGTAATGGATCAAAATGAAACTTAGTACAGAGTTTTTAATATGTAATCGATGGTAATTAGACAGACTTCATTGAAATTTGAAAGCCTTTTTATAGAGACAAAAAGATGTGCAAGGGGAGCATCAACTTCAATAACTTGAACAAAGTGTCTAAAAGCCTGCTCTCTGTCTCTGAAACCCATTTTAATTTGTTCAAACCCAGAAAGCTATTTATAAAATCAGGATGAGGGAAATAAGTTGCACAAATCCGTGCATGCTTCCTTAATTAAGTTGACCTCAGCGTCTTGAATTTGATCAATCTTGAAACACTATAGAATTAATTAAGCACCTTGTTCAGTTCTCGCAAAGATTCCTGTGTTCAATGGAACTGCATCACTTCCTACCAAAGATTAGGCTACTAGCTCATTTCTTTGTGGGAAACTTCAAACTTGGTGTATACTGTGTAGAGGCCTCAGCATCAGCATCAGCACCTGGTCTGCGTTTTATACATGTGACTGCACTACACCTTGTCAATATATCAACAGTAACAGCAAGCAACTAATCTTAATGGGTGGCTGTATTTTCTTTTCTTTTCTTTCATTTCAGTTAGATTTGAAATAAAGATGAGTAAATCATGCAAGGCGTGTCAGGATGGACCAGCATAAGAGACAATCGTGTTTTCTCTGTTGGAAGTGGAAAGTAGCTGTCACCATTACCATTTATTACTATTCAGAAGAAGCCGTCTCCTTGTGATTTATTACCAACGCCATCTCATTCTTTTTTTAAGGAATTATCATCTACCTTTAAATATATTAATTAAACTTAATTGAGAATTGATCATAACTTCACTTGTCTTATGATATATATATATATATATTAGATCAAATATTCATATGCTAATAATTGGGTTTGGGTCTTGAACTGGGCTGGGCTATCAATCTAAACCCATGTCCAATTTACTTATCTGGCTCACCCGAAAACCGACCCTTCCCTTCCGCTCTATAAGAACAATTTAGTAATTTACTTAACTGGCTCACCCAAAAACCTGAGCCTGGACCCCTGTCTAGCGTTCACTACCCATAACCCGCTGCGAAGTGTTTGTAGTAAATACTTATAATAGAGAAAATGAGCATTGTACCAAAGGAGACAGTTGAAGTGATAGCGCAAAGCGTTGGAATTAACAATTTGTCTACAGATGCAGCCCTCGCTCTGGCTCCTGATGTTGAATATCGAATGCGCGAAATCATGCAGGTCTATTTTAATTTCCTTTTGCCGTTATATCTTTTGTTTATTTACATGGGTTTTTTTCTTTATTTTTTCACTTGTTTCGTTTTGCTTCTTGTGGATGTTTGTGACTTGTTATTCGATGTGTTGAGTTGTTAAGTTAGGTTACTTGGGAAAGATTTTAATATAGGTTTATGTGGTGAAGTTGGGCGATTTTAAATGAATATGGGTTTCTGTGATTAAACTTATCCGCTCTGGAATTTGGGAACTTTGTGATAATTGTGTTATATGGAGTGTACTTATTTGGAAGCTGTGTAGTGTGTTATCTCCAAAAAAAAAAAAAAAAAAAAATCAAGGTCTTTGTTTACTCTTTATGGAATGTTTAGAGATATATTTATGTATGGAATTACTTTGAATAATTCGTGTAGACAATCAAATCATAGGTTGGTGAGGAGTACTTAGATGGAGAATATGGCTAAGTTTATTAAGGAAATTCGAGAATTGGTATTGGAATTAATGTAGATTTTGATTGAAGTACAGGAGGCAATCAAATGCATGCGTCACTCCAAGAGAACTAGGATGACGACAGATGATGTTGATGGTGCTCTGAAATTAAGGAATGTGGAGGTGAGTTCAAATAATTCTCATAGCTTAATTTTTAGCATGGAGTGGAATGGTTTAGGCTTATGATATAATACTAAATGCTGCTTATCCGGCAATTTTGGTAATTGCTTTTTCTTCATCTAATCTCTTTTAATCTTCTTGCCTCAGCCATTATATGGTTTTGCCTCAGGGGGACCTTTGCGGTTCAGAAGAGCTATTGGGCATAGGGATTTGTTTTACATTGATGACAAGGATGTGGATTTCAAAGATGTAAGAAAGTAAGGATTATATTTGTTGCCCAACCAAGATTCAATTTAAATTTTCCTTCAACCGGTTTTGACTTGTAGGTGATTGAAGCTCCTTTACCTAAAGCTCCTCTTGATACAGCAATTGTTTGTCACTGGCTAGCAATTGAAGGGACACAACCTGCAATCCCAGAAAATGCTCCAGTGGAAGGTTGGTGTCTAATACAGAGGCCTTATCAAGTGTTATATAATCTTTTAGACTTAAAATTTTGTGTAATTAGTTTAAACTTTGAAGAATCCTGATTTTAAAAAATGTCTAGCATCTAGTGAACTAGGATGGAAATTAATAGATTGGTTTAAGTGCAATGTGGTCTGTGGTAGATCTTGTTATACTTTTCTATTCTGGTATCAAGTCTACATGGTAAATTACGTATTGAATTGGTCCTTCATGAAGTAATTTCCTCTGAGTGAAGATAATCTCATGACCAAGATAAAAGTAGATACGTTTTTGCTTTCATTGTCAGTCAATCTGGATACTAATATTTGAATTGGTTTTGTTTGTCTCTAGTAATTACTCCTCCACCTGATGGAAAAAACAATGAACAGAAGGATGGGCTTCCTGTTGACATTAAATTACCAGTTAGACATATATTGTCTAGGGAACTTCAGGTACATGAAATACTATCTGCTCTTATATTTTATACTGTTATTTATTCTTTCTACTGTTTTTGTAACATGCCCTTTACTGTCGCCTTGCAGCTGTACTTTGATAAAATCACTGAGCTAACTGTGAGCAGGTCTGATTCGGTACTTTTCAAACAAGCATTAGTGAGTTTGGCTACAGACTCGGGACTCCATCCATTAGTTCCTTATTTCACATACTTTGTTGCTGATGAGGTGATAATTTTAAGAATATATTCTGGGAACATAAACAGTTTTAGGAAAATACATATCCATAATTCTCATTCCAACTGCTCCTTTGCTATGATATCAGGTATCTCGTGGTTTGAATGATTATTCCCTTCTGTTTGCTTTGATGCGTGTTGTTTGGAGTCTTCTTCAGAATCCTCACATACATATAGAACCTTATGTAAGTTTAATTTTAATTTGCATGGTTTATTTTTTAAGATTAGATGACCATTTTCTTTATATTTGTTCAATTTGTGGATATCCTCAGTTTTTTTGAAGAGTCTACTGTCCATGAATCTGAGAAGCCATTGTTTTCTTGTCAGCTTCACCAATTGATGCCATCTGTAGTTACCTGCCTTGTTGCAAAAAGGTTAGGGAATAGACTTGCGGATAACCACTGGGAACTTAGAGACTTCACAGCAAAACTGGTTGCTGCAATATGCAAAAGGTGAAACTTCTCCACCTTATTATTGGTTTTCCTCTGTCATCCATGCTTTATGTACATGCTGTAATAAATTTTGTATTATGTTTGCTGTAGATTTGGGCATGTGTATAACACTCTTCAGACACGTCTGACCAAAACTCTTCTCAACGCTCTTTTGGACCCAAAGCGATCATTGACTCAACATTATGGTGCAATTCAAGGTTTAGCAGCCTTGGGACCCAACGTGGTACTTTCTCTTCTCATGCTTTTTGGAAAAAAAAAAAAAAAGTGTCCTGAAAGTCAAATTAGAAAACAATGGTGCAGTTTGTGATGTTTCCTCTCTTTACAAGTAGGTTCGCCTTCTTCTACTGCCAAATCTTGAGCCTTATTTGCATCTTCTTGAACCTGAGATGCTACTTGAGAAGCAAAAGAATGAAGTGAAGAGGCATGAGGCCTGGCGAGTGTATGGGGCCTTGCTGGTAAGTTGCTTTGTGTAAGAATGCTTATACAATTATATCCAGGAAGATAATCTTGAGAAGCTTATCTAATGAGTATAATTTGACTTTTCTTTTTCCAGCATGCAGCTGGTCAATGCATATATGATCGCCTCAAGATCTTCCCACCTATGCCATCCCCACCAGCTCATGGTGTCTGGAAACCCAATGGAAAAGTTGTTACTACAGTGCCAAGTAAGAGATATACTGACTTATTTGTTTGCTTAGGAGTAAGACATTGATTGATATAGCATCTGTGGGTTTACCAGAACTCCAGATTAATTTGCATGCTTAGGGACCAAGGGTGTTTGAGAGTTGTTTGTTTGCCTTAGATTATATGCTCTATGTGATAATCAGGATTATTGATGTATCAATATACTGATGAATGGGTAAGTTCTTGTTATTGAGGGAGACTAACCTTATAAATAATTTGTCTAAAATTTGATCCTTAAATAGGACACAGATATTTTAGAAGCACATTTTACAAACATTTGCTGCATTTGTTTAATTGAGAAAACAAACATTTAACCCTTGCTTCCCCTTGTGCAATCTTCAAGATAAACGCAAGGCAACCATGGAGCACTTGGAAGAGCAGCCACCCCACAAGAAAATAGCAACTGATGGACCAACTGGTCCAGTGTCTACCAGCTCCTCATCATCTCCCATGCAGGAGGAACCAGTAGTAGCTTCTTCTTTGGGGGATTCTGATGCGGGCCCCTTATCATCTTCTGCACAGATTTCTCATGATAGCGGATCAGGCAGCAGACATAGAAGAGGCAGTGGTGATACTCGAGCTTCAAAGATTTCAGCCATCCTACCGCAGATTTGGAAGGATGACTTAAAATCTGGGCAGCTTATGGTTTCATTGTTTGGTCTATTTGGGGAAGGCATTCTCTCCTTTATTCCTGCTCCTGAGATGTCTTTGTTTTTGTAAAGGATGATACAGTCGCTGTGAATTTATAATTGAAGAAAGAAAAATCATATCAATGAAATACATGGTTTCCGTAGAGCTTATATGATGGAATTCATGTGTCTAGATTTGACAGCTGCTAATTGAATCTCTTTAATCATCCTATCATACTAATAGAATTGTCTGGAAAACTTTATAAATCAAAACTGTTGAAAATACTAAATAGATGTATGAAACAACGCATGTTATCTGCCTATAAAAGGGAGTGATTTGATTGGTATATAGGGAGGGTTGGAATGTTTTTTAAATTTGCAATAAGTTTTTAGATTGCTTCTTCTCTCGCAGATACGAGGGATAAGCTAGTTTGATGAAGCTTTAAGGTGATCTTGTTTCTTCCCCGTCTAGAGGCTCTTCGAAAGTCTTCGATTTTCATATAAAGCATTAGGAGAAATCTATTATCCTTTGCCTTGGGAGCTGGTTTCTTAATTATAAATGGACGACCATGATTACCAACAACAAAACATTTTTCATTTATTCAACTCATGACTTGATTACATTGTCTAGAATTCAAGAGGCATATAACCAGAAAACAAAAAAGGAAAAAGGAAATTGCAATGTTAAATAAAAGAAGAATGAATCAGGCGTAACAACAAGCAATTTAAGCACCAAATTTAGTGGTCTCCTTCTCCACAGCTTTTCTGAGGATGCTATCCTCTTCCAGGGCCATTTGTATGGGCAAAACTCCGATACCATTGGCCATAGCAAGCATCATTTGCTTGGTCTCTGCCTTGAACTCCTCCAAATCCACAGATCCATTTGAGTCGTGGTCGAATTTCAGGAACAAGGATTTGTACAACTTAGCAAGCTCATCCGGGTCTGGTTTGTCATCGATTCCAAAATGAGTCTCAAACACCCTCAGACTCTGTAGCTCCTTCATCATTTCTGCATAGGAAAGAAGACCATCTTTATCTTTATCAAGGTTGGCGAAAAGGTCACGTACTGAGACGCTGAATGCATCTTCGTCTTCCAGAAAGCTAATAATGGTTGCACCATCTAACACTTCTACACTCATTTTGCTGACTTCTCTTGGTACTTGAAAGCTACAACAGGTATCAAAAGTAGAAGAAATCTTTCAACTTAATTTGATCTTGTTGAAAAAAAGAGTTCGGTTTGGTTATATTTATAGTCTCTAGTTAAGATAGTTCGAGAGCAATATGTTGTTTCAAAATTTTGCTTTGTTGGCCTGCTGTTTTCGTCTGGCACAAGTTTTTTGAAATCATTAGTGAAACAGTGAGACTAGCTTGATCTTTTCAATAAGTTGGCCCATTGAACGCGAATGCAAATAGTCACAAGTCATTGGATTAATAACCATTTTTAACTGTTCATGGGTTAGTAAGTCTTTATGCACTAGAATTTGTCTTGCCTTTCAACCTTTGAATTTAAATCCAATGGGCTTAGAAAGTCAAAAATCAAAAGAAGTTGACCAAAAAGTCAAAAGAAGAAATTGCAACTGCAGTTTGAAATCTTGCTAAGTCACCTCGCAACCACCGACAGTTGTATAACTGTCAAAAACAATGAGATCTGCCCATAGATCATTCCTCAACCTCCCTCTCGAACAACACCCAATTCCGTGACACACGCAAAACATTATACAAAATATTGTCATGACTTGAGAAAACAGAATTCATCCCAACCTCAATATGCATGCCATGGTGGTGACCAAAGATTACTCAAGAAATACTTGTCACATACTCGTATATACTTGGGGGATCCAGTTTCAATGAATATTCGATATCATATTTTGAAAATTGTATATCAAGTATTGCTTTAATGTTATGAAATTATGATTGCAACCTTAAACAATTATATATGTTGGATTTAATCATGAAATTTATTTATCTTCCAAATTGAAATCTACCCACCAATTCTGTACTAATTATCATATACAATCAGAATGCATATTTTTTATAAGAATCCCAAAAATGAGAGAAGAAGCCCTCTATTTATAATAAAAGGTTTCAGGGTAATGATTACAAGTCTGCAAGTAGACAGGTGTAGTACAATTCATACCGTGCTTCCCATTGACTGATTACATAAGAGACATACTCAAATTGTGTAAGGCTTGGATAAGTGGGCGACTCATATCCACTCTTAAATAAAGTCTGAGTTTACCAAGTTGATGACAGCTATACTCTTTCTGTCTTTAGACGACGTGATAGCTCCTGGACAACACAAAGTCTTCATGAACTCTGATTAACGTTGGCTGACGTAAGCTCACGCTAGCCCTGATTTTTTAGGCATAACATATTCTAACAAGATTTCACCATTCTTCAGAAGGCAAATCACCCTAAAAAATCTTTTTTTCAAATACAACTTTGAACTCTTGAAGGATGCATCCCAACCTTGTTCCAAATTTATCCGCGGCAGATGAGCTCTAATGTAGAATTCTTTGATCCAAGACTTCTTTACATTATATTCCTTCATAACCCAAATCTCAATATCTCCACCATCAACAAAAAAAGCTGCAGATGGACAGCCTCCTAAAACTGCCAGATGGTTATGATGACCTAAGGTTGGACAGTCAGGCTTGGGGACCTCCCAGAATTGGTCATCTGCTAAGTCAAATGACACAAGCAGGAGACCTAGCCAATATTTATGGGGCCAAAAGATCTAGTGAAGTCTTCCATTGAGCAAGATGGGTGATGACCACAATCCAAGGAAGTTGTAAGGTAATTTTCCTACTCTTCTCCAAGTGGAGCTTCCCGGAGTGAGTACCTGAGCCTCTAATTATTTATCGGTATATAAATCCCTATACAGAAGACTATTTGCACTTTCAAAACATATAGCAATCACCTTGTATTCCTTTGTGGTAGGATGGAAGCCAAATCCAAACACGTTCACCATCTCTTTATGCGAGACCTTCGTGGGTTCAGGAAGCTTTAAGTAATCCCCGGTAAAAGGGTTATATATACAGAGTGAGTGGCTTGCAGGTGATGATGAATCCCTTAAGCATAGAAGGCCATTACATGAGCCTACAATGTCAAATTTAGGCATCAAAGGAACGCAAAATTTCTTCAATGCCTAGTAACTTTCATTCCGAGCAGAGAAATCAACTAAGTAATTTTGGTCTTGAACAGGATAGTCTTGGTGTAGAATGAAACAAGGATCATTTTCAGTCATGCGCAAGAAATGCATATTAATGAGAAGAGGGTCTTTTGCTAAGTTGCACCAGGCTCGGCAAACAAACTTGATTTTGGCTAAAGATGTAATAGATAGGCTTGATAATATATTGAAGGAAATCTCACGCGGAAGACACTCTAATGTGATCTTTGGTGCATCTCCATCTTTACCAAGCTTGTGGCTCTTGCCCTGTTTCTCACAGATTGAGTCCATAGTTGGGGAAAGATTTAGAAACAACAAGATTTAAGGAAGGCCTGGAGATGAAAACAAATAAATATGATTCTTCGATATAAAATGAATAAAAATAAGTTGGAAATTATGATGAAATAGTGCTGTTAGGGATAAACAATGCTACAGGGCGGCAAAACTAAGAACACACAAACAAATTATGTCATAGAATATATTGAATCATCTTATCTCGTCCATTTCAAGACTCCAAATTATTCCAATTATGGACACTTAGATGCATTGAGGTCAAATTAAAGAGCAAGCCCCTAGTAACTACAAAGAAGAATGGTTTCTAAGGCCACAAGAGCACTTTAAAGACCAAGGTTGATATGCACCAAGGTAGCAAAAAGGTAAAAAGTAGACTATACAAATTTTTGGGAGAATACATTGCATAGATGATCAATTGTATTTGCAACTTCATACATTCCATCGTCTATCATATTGTTCAATAATTTCAATGAAAGAGGGCACAAAATAAATGTAAAGGACATAATATTTTACTTTACTTGCTAAACTTACATATTGTCTGTCATCCCATTGTAATGCAATGTACGCTCAACTTTCTCTAAAAACAGTATGAGTAGTTCGAAACTGGGACTTGATCTTGAGTGGCGGTGTGGCACACAGCTCATATTTACTAGTCAGCACCTCCAAGTTGAAGACCCTGTTCTCAACACTGGGCTCTGTTTGACTCCGTATACAATTCCAATAGTGACAACTAAGAGAAAGATTTCAAAAGCATTAGAAAGAACTTGGAAGAATTAGTGTTATTTGAAATCTATGAAGTCGGTAAGTAGAGCTGGTAAATCCCATCAAGATAGGATAGATTCACTCGGAAAATAACTGGGTTAACATAATTGATATTATTTTGAATAGACGAAGACCAGTGAGAAGCGTTTACTCTTCAGTTGCACACTCTCAAGAGGAATTAATGGTGGAAAAAGTTGGTTTATTTGTAACATCCTTAATATATGCTCATTCTGAAATTTTATCAAAACACTTGGTTGAATGTCATTCTGAAATTTTATCAAAACACTTGGTTGAATGTCAACATTAGTTTTCTGGACAAGTAAGGGAAGTGCTATGTCACGGGATGATAAGTCATTGAATTGGAATATCAAAAACAGTGTATATTTTAAACTCACAAGATAACATAAAACCAAACTTTATTTCGTCATCGAAGAGCAAATTTACTGAGTGAGAAAGAAGCATAGACTTTGATAGTCTTCCATTTTATATATCAACGAGAGTGTCAATCCAATTGAGGCTACCATCATGAACAACAGCTTCACATAAATGTGGCATTTCAAGGAACAAAAGGTCCTTAAATGTTCCATGTTTGGGGTCATAAGAAACAAGAGCCCTGCGTTTATACTCCCTCACCGTTTTTTAGAAGGCATAACACCCGCAATGAGCTATACTGATGGAACTTTAAATCCCATAAGGATTGGGGTACATCTTGCTCTTGTCCTCTTGGCACGTGAATTCCAATGTTGAATTGCTTGATCCAAGACTCCTTCACATCAAAATCCTGCATAACCCTTATCTCAAATTGCCCATAACTGCCCAGGACGGCTGCAGAAAGACAATCTTCTAAAACCAAATATATTAATTAATATATTAAAAATATGTTTGTTTTATTATTTTGAATAGAATTTTTGAAAAAGTTGAGTTTGGTTGTTATTACGAGGTAGGATTTGAAAATTAATAAAAATACCCTATAGTTTTGTTCATTTACTAAAAACCCCCTATAATAAAAAGTTTAGAAATTGACAAAAAAAGGCCTACTCACCCACATTTGCCAGATTCTGGCCACCATCGTCGAAAAGTGATCGGAATCTAGTGTAATGGTGCACGACTGGTTGGATCTGGCCGATTGTGCGCTGATATGACCTTCTTCGGCTAGATCCACCATGGATTTGGCTGGAAAAAGTCAAATCTATGGCCAGATCTGGTCGTCAACAACGGCCAAAGATATGACCGTCGTTGACGGTCAACCACGAAAAATATATGGTCGTTGTTGATGATCAACCATGGCCATATCTTGGCCGTCGTTGACAACCAGATGTGGCCAAAGAACAGCCAGAATTTTGGCTGTAGATCTGGCATTTTTCGACTAGATCCACGATGGATCTGCCTAGAAAAGGATAGATCGGGGTACTACCAGCCAGATCCAGTCGGTTGTACGCTATTACGCCAGATTCTAACCACCTTTCGACGATGGTGGCCGAAATCTGGCAAATGTGATGGGTGGGTGGGGGTGTTTTTACCAATTTTTAAACCTTTTTTTTGTTGGGGGTGTTTAGTTAAATTAACAAATCTAAAAAGTTTAAAAATAGTTGAATTAAATAGAATTGGATTTTCTAAATAGTGAATCAGATATGTATTTTGGGTAGGATTTCAAAAATCCTACTCAAAATAGAGAAACAAACACACCAAACAATCTAGTCAAAGGTTTTTTTTTTATAGAATTCTTTTATTCTCTTAACCAAATATATTAATTATTTATACTCACTAATTTATTTCAATCTAACAAAACATATCTAATATAACATTCCCAATAATTTTCAAAATAATATATCTTCCTATTAATATTAATATAACATTATTAGTAATAGAACATTCCTTGAACCAAACGCTAATATAACATTATCAGTAATACAACATTCCTTGAACCAAACACTCACTAAGTTTCTTAACTAAGAAATGCTCACTTATTTGAAAATTAGAATATTCATTCAAAAGTTGTG